CCACTACAAGCTACTAATAAACAGGAAGATTTGGTGCATATGGCTTGGAACGTTTTCTGCTGTCCTACTCAGACATAACAAGAAAGGAAGCCCTGCTGCCTCCCACAACATGAAGGAGCCTGGAAAGACGTCATGCTGACCAAAGTGGGTCAGACGCAAAAGGGCAAATACTACATGATCTCACGTATGTAACACGAGCATACATACAGAAACCAGTGGTTATGAGTGGTCACCAGCGGTGGAAGGAGGCATTGATTTATGCTCACGGTGGTGGAGTAATCTGGAGAAGGGGGGTGTGAATGACTGTACGATATGAAGAATGTCATCAGTGGTACTGAACGGCAAGCACATGGAGTAATTGGTGACTTGGCAAATGCTTTGTTGAGTGCTCATGTTTATGGGGCACCTTTGCTACAAATGGCGTTCTCACCGCTGTACTTTAAGAACCTGCACACCTGCTGGCTTCGGCCGGAGCTGCTGCTGTTGGAAGCTAACATCGCACAGGGGTTCTCAGGGCAGGGTCCCTGCACGAACAGCATCAGCACCAACGGGAAAAGTTAGAAACATGCTCTCGGCCCCTGCCCCAGACCCCCTGCACCCGACTGGGGTGGGTACGCTCTCTGTGTTGTAAGAAGTCTCCAGCTGCCTCTGATGCCCGCTCATGCTTGGCCCAGGGCAGTCGATGCTGGTCCCTCCTTGTGAGGTTCACATTCAGTTCTGTGCACTTTGAATCCTTCAAGACACATGGAGTTAAGTCCTGCTTTACACACAGAGCCAGTTTGTAAATTATGATCATCCCAGCTGCCCATGGTGGAGGAGGGTGAGTCATGTCCTGGGCAGCGTGCTGGCTCTTCCCAGTTGATCCCTACCAACCCTGAGAGCCGGTGGTGTTATTAACCCAACGTTAGTGATGAGAAAGGCTAGCGGCTTAGGACAGCAAAATGGTTCCAACAGTGCCACATGGCTGGAAAAGGGCAGAGGCAGCACTAGGATCCAAGCCCCCCTCACTCCAGATTCCAGATTCCCCTCTGCTGCCAGATGTGGAATTACTAACCAGTTAAATTAGGAGCTCTGGTGGCACAGTGCCTAAGGCATTTGACTGCTAACCAGTAGGTTGGCGGTTCAAACCCACCAGATACTCCATGGAAGGAAGACTAGGCAATCTACCATAAAGACTTACCGCCTTGGAAACCCAGTGGGGTTCGCTGTGAATCGGAATCAACTCCATGACTTGAGAGGAAAAATCCACCATCTGGTTGTTATAGGTCAGAGGCCCTTAACTCTGAGTGCTGAAGCCACCTGGAAGGCATCCATATAAGCCAACACCTCCACCCCCAGCGCCCCACCCACCCCAAGAGGACTTGCCATGAGCTGGGAGCAGGTCCTGGACATCACTATTTGTGTCAAAATCCGTACTACCTCCAAAATATTTTTTTTCCATTGCATTTAAAATGCCTTTCATTATTAAAAGCACATGATTTAACCAAACCTCAAAGCAGGAAATAGTTCAGTTTGACAGGTTAAGAATGGTTGGGACGGGACGAGGGCCTCCGTCAAATTTTGCCCAAGTGCTCTGTGCTCTCTGTCAGCTGAACAGACGGGCTCTGAAAATGTGGAACCTATTTGGGTGCGCGGTGATATCCTTCCGGTTGTTTTCACAGTGTATCACCCCCATCAGCCAAAACTCTATTTGAGTAGAGGCTAAATAAAACTGCCCTCTGGGTTACAAGTGAGGCCACTCCATCCAGGCCGAGAGTCATCACCTCACACACAGCCAGGAATCAACTTTATTCCATTTTCATATCTCCAACTACCGAATTACAAACAAATCACAAACAGATCTGTCCTGGAAGAAGTGCAGCTGGAACGCTCCTTGGAAGCAAGAATGGTCAGACTTCATCCGCCTACTTTGGTCATGTTGTCAGAAGGGACCATTCCCTGGAGAAGGATGTCTTGCTTGGTGAAGCCGAGGGTCGATGAAAGAGGGGAAGGCCCTCAACGAGATGGACTGACACGGTGGCTGCAATGATGGGCTCAGAGATGGCAAGCCTTGTGAGGTTGTTGCAAGACGGGGCAGTGTTTCATTCTGTTGTACACGGGGTTGCTATGAATCAGAGCCAACTCCATGGCACCTAAAAACAATAACAATTACCAAAGTCGTAAAAGGGATGAAATTCTTTCCATTTTAAACTGGGAGCTACTGCAGACATCAGACACCCATACAGGCAGCATGTGGTGGTAGTGGTGGAGGGGGGAAAACGGGGGTTCTACCGTATTTATACAAAGATAACGGGCACTTTCCATCCTTATCTACCACCCACACCCCATCCTTCCCCTGCGAGGTACTTTCATAAGCTTGCTGTCCTTTTTTGTTTGTTTGTTTGGGGCAGCAGCAGCAGCAGCATCTAAAGAGAATTGGCGTAGCACTTACGATACCTGGAGGTGGGAGAACAAATGTAGAATGAACATTATTTGCGTAAAAATATGGTAATTCCAAAGGGGAACACAGACACTGAGATCCAAGTTCCTGCCCAAGAGCCCCTGCAAGGGGCCTTGAGGAGGCAGCCTGGCCTCTCTGGCCCTGCCCTGGCTATAAGGAGATGTGGGTAGGAACTGGCCCTTCCAAGAACAGTGACCCAGACCAGGCACAGCCTCAATGGCCATAAAGTCCAAAGGCCCGTTCATTGTCCTAAGACCCCACCTTCAGAGTCCTCGCTAATCTTGTGGACACTCAACTCAAGGGATCTTTGCCCTCTGACCGCAGCTCCTGACCAAGGACCCCGAGAGCCGTCTGTGCAGCCTCCATGACGTGCAGAGTGCACCGTACTTGGCCAGTGTGAACTGGGACGCGGTGTTTGAGAAGGCGCTGACGCCTGGCTTTGTGCCCAACGTGAGTGGAAGTCCCACCCAATGTCGTGCCACCCCACGGCAGGGTTCCGGCCTCAGCATGAAGGATGCCCGGCAGTTGCCCAGCGAGGCCTGTGTGGCTGTGACCTCTTGAGCACCCCAGGGTCATGATTCCCTGAGACTGAGGGTGGATTGGGGCCTGACCTCCAAGGCCCCTCCTGGGCAGCTCGCCTGTGGCCACTGGGCCTTTTTGGTGCTGAGCCTTTTCCCTTCCTGCATGGAATAGCAAGTATGAGCGCACACCCAGCACGTGCACAGTCTAGCACTAGCGAGAACAGGGTGTGTCAGTGTCCCGGGGCTGGGGAGACAAAACCCCACAAAGTGGGTGGCTGCATAGCATAGATGTGGACTGTCCCACAGCTCTCTCCATGTACAGAAGACCCCGCCTTGTCTCCTCCGGCTTCCGGTAGCCATGGGGGTTTCTTGGCTTGTCGGCTCTTCACCCGACATCTTCCCCCAGTGGCTCTGCCTCCATGTCTGGTCTCCGCTTTGATAACAGACACTGCTCGGAAGGGCCCCTCTTCCCTGGTATGACCTTGCCAACCTCACTGACAGCAACCACCACCAGAACTTATTTCCAGACAAATTCACATGCACCGCAAGAGAGACACATTCAATGCATGACACAGGGCAGTTGGAACAGAATCGCCCTGCCTTCCTGGAGCTCAAGTGGGACCAGACAGACCACGGGCTCCGCAGCCAGTGACATGGTGTCAGCTGTGTGTGAGTCAGATGCCTGATGCAGAACATGGCACCAGGTGGGAATACAGCCTATGACTACACATTGGAGCTGAGAGAGAGGGAGAGACAGCGTGGAAGGGGAGCAAATGGGGCATTTGCAGGCGTTGGCAGAGAAGGCCTGTGCGAGGGGATAACGTTTGAACAGACAGGAACTAGAGGGAAATGAGTGAAGCAGGCGTGCAGGCACTGGACGGAGCCTTCCAGACAGGACACAGATCACACGCGCATCAAGGCAGCAGAGAGCTTGGGTTTTGTCTTAGGGTTCTCTAGAGAAATAGAACCTGTGTGTGTGTGTGTGTGTGTGTGTGTAGAGAGAGAGAGATTTACCTCAAGGAACTGTCTCACAATTGTAGGGTGTGAAGACGCCTGCCGTCTTGTGCCCCCAGATCCATAGGTCAGGCAATGGGAAGAGTGAGGATGGTCTGGGAAAATGGGTATCAGACACTGGAGTTTCCCCCTTGGGAAACTCTCTGCTGTTGAAGGCTTAGCTGAGGGACTGAAGGTGATCAGCTCTACTCGAGACCATCTGCTTTCCTTACATGTGACTATAGGTACGTGTCACTAAATGACCCCGGTGCCTTCTGTGTAACTGGAGTCACATGAGCACCACAGCAGGGCTATGTGACACACAGGCCTGATATGTAACATAACACGAGGTAGGAATACAGGCGACTTGGATGTTGTGCAAACGTCCTATTATATATAGTGTATTTCCGATACACAGATGTCCAAGTAACCCCCCTGCAGCGGCTCTGGGCCACCCTTAGCACCCAGAGCTTCCGGTTTGCAGACTCGCACCCACCATTGGCTGCCGCTGGGCTGGGCGTGCAGAGCCCTCAAGCAGCCCCAGGGAGGCCTGGTGGGAATCAGAAGCCCCGAGGGCGGAGTGGAGCAGCCGAGGCCGGCGTCCTCCCGCAGGCACCGACCGGCAGGGCACGGGCCATCGGAAAGCACCCGGCAGCCACGGCTCAGGGGCTGCGCGCGGCGCTCAGGCTCTCCAGCAGCAGGTAAAGCTCGCTGCTGGCGCGCTGCGAAGTGCACGAGCCCCGCCTCCTGACGCCCTTCCCCTCCGCCCTGCCACGTGGACGGTGGGATTGTGCTGTTGCCGATAGACTGCACATCCCTGTATGTGCTTGGTGACAGCCCCGCGGCGTTTCACCAAACAGCTGGGCACCATAGCCTAGCCAAGTTGATGCACAAAATTAGCCGATAACCAACGGAGATGTGTTCAACAGCCAAATCTATTTCACTATTCAGAAGTTTCCAGTGGATGGGAATCGGAGTCAATAACAAACTTCTTCCAGTGGCCAAAATAAATAAATAACCCTCCCAGATTTCCAAATGCATAAAGAGGCTTTGTGGCTGTAACTGGGAGAAAACAGGAGAGAGTGAGATTGGAAGGGAACACGGGCCACGCCATGGAGGGCGGGGGAGCCTCTGGAGGGTTTGAGGTGAAACCACTGGAGAGTCTTAGGTGGGGGAAGGGAATGTGTCAGACCTCTGGAGGTCTGTGCTCAGTCCCCTGGGCTGGCTGTCTTAGGAATGCAGCTCTGGGTTTTCCAAAGAAAGATGCTCACAGTCTGTGAGTCTCAGATGGTCCTTTTCTGCCACATGTGGACCCACACGGACTCCTCCATGCAGTCCTAAGTATCCATCACAAGTTGCCTGAAGGGTTCTTCCCCTTGCCACGTGTCAGCCCTCCTCGAGACAGTGCCCGCACAGCCTGGGCACAGAGCATCATGTTGTACGCACCCAGTCGTGGTTAGGACCTGCCTCTGTGGCCTCAGTGTCTCCTGCTCCTCTCCCAGCCCCACCCACGATGCACACGCACATTCATGCACACACACTCATACTCACTTACCCCAACACTTCCTGTTCTGTCTCCTCCCTCCCAGCAGTACTTCCCACGTATTTGAAATACATTATAGTATTTCAAGTATATACAAGTATATACACTATAGTATAGTATAGTTACATTCTGTAACATTATAGTAGATATTACTGTATTTTATCCCCGGTAAAGGAAAGATACCCACTCCTCACTTATCGATGATCTTGTTATCTGACATTTTGCTTTTATCACAATAGTAAAAATCTGTCTATCTGTATGTCTGGTAATGAAGACCAAGGTCCAAGGATGGATGGTTAAGATTATGTGTCCACTTGGCTGGGCTGGGCTTCTCAGTAATTTGGCAGTTATGCAATGATGGAATTTGGCAGTTATGTGATGATGTGGTCATCCTCCATTTTGTGATCTGATGTGGTCACCCTCCATCTTCACACAATCCTGATTTTCGCCTAACAACCTGGGCTTTGGAACTTAACTCTGTCGATAAGTGAGGAATATAGAAGTCGTTGGGCGGCCCAAACAGTTCAGCATGCAGCTACTAGTAAAAGTTGGCATTCAGACCCACCCAGGTGCCCCAGCAGACAGGCATGGCCCGTGGAATCTACCTCCAAAAGGTGACAGCCATGAAAACACGATGGAGCCCAGTTCTGCTCTGCACACGTGGTGTCACTGTGAGTCAGATTCGACTCCCTAGCAACTAACAGCGCCACCAAGGGAAGTATTGTATCCAGGCTTTGCAAATAATGGACTGGATCTCAAAGAAGTAACTTGTTCAAGGTCAGAAAGCAGCAGAACTGGGATCCCCATCACCACTGCCATCGAGTCGGTTCTGACTCAGTGTTTCTGAGGTGGTGAGTCTTTAGCGAGGTAGACTGCCCAGTCTTCCTTGTGCGGAGTGGTTGGTGAGTTTGAACCACCAGCCTTCTGGTTAGCAGTCAAATGCCTTAGGCACTGCACCACCAGAGCTCCTATGGGACTCTTGTTGTTGTTGTTGTTGTTGAGTGCCATCAAGTCATTTCCGACTCACAGCAACCCCATGCACAGCAGAACGAAACACAGCCCGATCCCGCGCCAGCCCCACAATCCCTGCTATACTCGAGCCCATCATCACAGCCACCGTATCAATCCATCTCCTTGAAGGCCTCCCCC